TGCATCTATTGAGATAATCATATGGTTTTTATCTTTCAATTTGTTAATGTGGTGTATTACATTGATTGATTTGCGGATATTAAAGAATCCTTGCATTCCTGGGATAAAGCCCACTTGGTCATGATGTATGATCTTTTTAATATGTTGTTGGATTCTGTTTGCTAGAATTTTGTTAAGGATTTTTGCATCTATGTTCATCAGTGATATTGGCCTGTAGTTTTCTTCTTTTGTGGCTTCTTTGTCTGGTTTTGGTATTAGGGTGATTCACCACCACTTTTTAAAAATGCATTAGACAGTGGAGAGACAACTACAAAATTCTCAGACTTGATTACTTCTGAAATGTTCAGGGAGAGACAAAGAGGAGGAAAAACTAATTACTCATAATGTTCTGTTTCTATGGTGGATGTGTGCATACTTTATTATTATATTATTCTTTACACCTTACATATAGTAGATATTTTTTATGGGCAAAAATATTTTGTAAGACTTTAAAATAGGAAATTTATATTGTTAATGTAAATAAGTGGTTTGCTATGCTGGTAGTAATTTTTCCTAATGAACATTGAAATAAAAACAAGCCTATTAAAATTTTCTCATATAATTATCATATAAAAGTTATAGACAAAGAAGCCGTATGTTCAAAATGCAAGACAAGACACATGTGCCAATATTTTCTATGAATTTCCTAAAACAATAGGAAAGCCTATGGAAAAACAGGAGATCTGGGTATTGAAACTCCTAAAAGTAAATTGATGGTTTTATGGTTGTCTTGCCAAGATGAAAGAATAATGCTTGGCTTCCCTCCAATGATGTTTCCAGGGCCCAGAGGACACAAGAAACCAGAAGACTTTCCCCTGAAGACGTGGAGTCCATGAGGGACATTCTGACACGCAACATGTACCAAGTTCGACAAAGGGTGTGTATATAAGACTTGTCCCTGCTGCTATTCTTGAGGCCAGTCCTCCAGACATCAGTTCTTGTTCAGGTTACCCTTCCCAAGCAGCCTTCCTGCTGAGCAATTTCTCTCTGCTTAGTTAGGAAAACAGAAAGTTAACTGTCGTGTTTCTGCAGCAAAATTGGCCCCCATGGTAGAAAGAGAAATGCAGATCCAGTTGCTGGCCCTAGGGCAGGCTGCCCCAGCCCTGCAGACCTGGCTTTCCAGAATCAGCAGGGCTCCCTCCCCCTTCAGAGTCAGACCAATGATGGAGCTTGTCCACCAGGGAAGAAATATGGCCCCAGGATGCCAGTGGGGATGGAGCTGTCTCAGCATGATTCGTTGTAATAGAGTTTAGAAAACTGGAATGGTTTAGATTAGAATATCAAAACCACAGTGCTGAAAGCCTGAGGAAAAAATGGGAGACATATCAGGGACTTCCCTGGCAGTGGTTAAGACACCAAGTTTCTAAGGCATGGGTTCAACCCCTGGTCTGGGAACTAAGATCCACATGCCACTTGGCCAATGCGCGCGCACACACACACACACACACACACATATATACATATATATATATGTGTGTGTGTGTGTGTATTTTTTTTTCCTCCACAAAAAAGAGACCTATCAAGCATACTATTTATCAGTTTTGGAAAAGGTATAGAGGCTATTCAGGTGAGTTCTTTTGAAAGTTTGATTTAATCAAATGACATTTATACTAATGTTTTCTAGTTAAGAGCTATTTAAGGTTGAGTATTCAGTGGAACATCCCAATTATTGAGTAGGGTTATAAGTGAGTTTACTGCTAGGCCCTTGGTTTTTGTGACTATGTCATGGGATCTCCCAAAATCATTCAGTCACAGTTACTTATTTTCAAGCAAAAGATACTGAGGTTAGAAGATTTGCATTTTTTTTTCTTTCTGTTATCATCATGTCTGACTCTTTGTGACCCCATGGACTCTAGCCTACCAGGCTTCTCTGTCCATGGGATTTTCCAGGCTAGACTACTGGAGTGGGTTGCCATTTTCCTCTCCAGGGGGTCTTCCCAACCCAGGGCTCAAACCCAAATCTTCTGCATTGGCTGGTGGGTTCTTTACCACTGAACCACCCAGGAAGCCCTAGGAGAGTTATCTCACTTGTTTAAGGTCACAAAACATATTTGAGTTAAGAACCCAGGTCTTCCAACTGCCTAGCCACGGCTCTTTCCATGACTTCAGAATTACATGATCCAGGGTAGGTGAATGTCTTCTGGCTGCTGTTTTGAGAAGGTCAGTGATCAAGGGGAATGTGTCAACAAAAGGCCCTGCACCTGCTGGAGGAACATGGGTCAGCAGCAAATAATACACATCTAGTAAGCACAGCAACTTTCAAATCTTTCCAAGTTAAACCATTTCAGCAAGACTATCACATTCTGCCTTAGATAAGTAGGTAAGAACTTCCTGGTTGAAAGAACACCAGCTTGCTTAGGGAGGGTCACAGCCCAAGGGTGCCTGGTACTGAGACTTTCCCCATGGAGGTGGAGAGTGAGGTTAGGGAAAGTCCTCAGTTGGTAAAGAAGCCGCCTGCAATGCAGGAGACCCCAGTTCGATTCCTGGGTCGGGAAGATCCGCTGAAGAAGGGAATGGTTACCTACTCCAGTATTCTTGGGCTTCTCTTGTAGCTCAGCTGGTAAAGAATCTGCCTGCAATGCGGGACACCTGGGTTTGATCCTTGGGTTGGGAAGATACCCTGAGGAGGAGAAAGGCTACCCATCCCAGTTTTCCAGTCTGAAGAATTCCATGGACTGTATAGTCCATGGGGTCGCAAAGAGTCGGACACAACTGAGTGACTTTCACTCACTCACTCAGAAATAAGAGAGATACTGGAACTCCAACCCACTGTAAAATGAGGCTAACTGTCCATTGTCTCTTTTCTTATCAGGTTCCTAGATAGTCATCTTTCTTCTTTTATCAGCGCCCATTCAGTCTGCCTCCAGGTTCCTCCCTTCTAAGCTTTGTAGAATCTCCCTTCCTTGTTGCCCGAGATGAGTGGATAGGTGATAGAGAGTCCTGTGGGGAGAACATACATGGTAAACCAAGGGGCTCTACCGGAGACGACTTTTGCTTCCACTTTTGTTACATGAGAGAATGAGACTCACCTGTCCTGCCCTTTCTGTCTTTCCTTTCTCATCTCATCTTTTTTTTAATGTCATAATATATTTTATTTAACCCACTTTATGAGCTAATGGTAAAAGAACCTGCCTGCCAATGCAGGAGACATAAGAGACACGGGTTCTATCCCTGAGTTGGACAGACCACCTGGAGGAGGGCATGGCAACCCACTCCAGTATTTTTGCCTGGAGAATCACATGAACTTGGAAGTCTACAGTCCATGGGGTCGCAAAGAGTCAGACATGACTAAAGTGACTTAGCACACATGCATGGGCACACATCAAAAATATTTCAATGTGTCATAAATATAAAAATTACCAATAAGATATTTTCTACTCTTTAAAAAAAATTAATGTCTTCAGAATCAGTATGTAGCTAATACATTGCAGTTGGAATTAGCCACATTTTTTTCCTTAAAGTCTCCTTTATTTTTTTCTTCTTTTTAAAAAAATCTTGTTTTTTATTTGTGTCATTGATTAATGATGTGTTAGTTTTACGTGTTCAGCAAGGTGATTCAGTTATACATCTATATGTGTCAATTCTTTTTCAGATTCTTTTCCCCTTTAGCTTTTGACAGAATACTGAGCAGAGTTCCAAGAGCTATCCTGGTTGGTTATCATCCTGTCTTGACATAGGTCATGTGACTCCTTCCTCCACCACAGTTCTCCTGTTCTCTTGGAGGAAAATTCAAGGATGCAGTTCAGGACAACCGTCTGTCTACTTCATTTCTTGTGGAAGGCCATTAGCAGCACTGACCATTCCACAGTGCTGAGGATGGTCACAAAGGTGGCATCTGTAGTTGGGCATCTGTACCTCCGGGAGGACCACTATGAGGGTTGCAGGATGACAGCACAGTGGATGCCACTGCCCCTGTGAGCCAGAGGCACGGGCTCCAACCGCAGCTCTGTCCTGGTGGGCTGGCCCAGATCGCAGACCTTTCCTCCAGAGCCACAGATTGCATCTCTGCAATGGAGGCAAAGGCTCAGGGGGCCTGGGTGTCACCTTCTCCTTCTACTAATCATTTTTTAAAATATTTATTTGTTTGGGTGCACCAGATCTTAGTTGTGGCACACGGGATCTTCTGTCTTCATCACTTTCGTCCTGCAGGATCTTTAGTGGCAGCAAGTGGACTCTTAGTTGCCTCATGTGATATCTGGTTCCCTGACCAGGGATGGAACCTGGGTCCCCTGCACTGGCAGCCTGGAGCCTTAGCTTCTGCACCACCAGGGGAGTTCCTCTACTAGTTTTTTTTGTGACTTTCCCGTGGTCTCCAGAGGCTGGAAGATGTGCGGAGATGTCAATACATGCCTGATGTCCCCTTCTTTCTGCAGACCTTGTCCTACAACAAATACAACCTCCAGCCCCAGACGAGTGAGAAGCAGGCGAAGGAGATTCTGATCCGCCGTCGGAACACCTTCAGGGAGAGCGTGAAGAAAGGGCACAGCCTGCCCTGGGGAAAGCCGGTAAGGGGCAGGTGCCAACTCACCCTGAGCTGGGCCAGTCTCCGACTGGGGCCTCCTCGGGTGACTCCTTTCACTGGTTAAACAAACAACCATTCCCTTGGTGCCAGGGTAAGACAAAGCGAAGGGGGTACGGGACAGCAGACACCCCCTTCTCTGAGCCCAGGGCTTTTGGGCCCAAGCTCCAACTCACACTAACATGAGGCTAACTGTCCATTATCTGTTTTTAATCAGGTTCCTAGGGGGCCTTTGAGGCCCAAACTGTCCTCAGGGTGGTTTTTGTTTGGTCAGTCAGTTGTGTCCAACTCTGCAACCCTATGAAATGTAGCCCACCAGGCTCCTCTGTCCATGGAATTCTCCAGGCAAGAATACTGGAGTGGGTTGCCATTTCCTTCTCCAGGGGATCTTCCCAACCTAGAGATCAAACCCAGTTCTCCTGCATTGACAGGCGGCTTCCTTACCACTGAGCCACCTGGAAGTCCATGGGGTACGTGGCAGCAAACTGCACCTGCTCAGGATGGGCCAGTGACTGGGACATACTCCCTGGACTGTGAGGCTAGACGAACTCCCATGGTGGCCAGAGACTGGACTCCAGGGGACCCCGATGGACAGGTTCCCTGGCTGCTCTGGGAAGCTTGCTTCTCTACCAGGGAGATACAGGGAGGAGTTTGTTCTTGCCAAGATTCTTGGAGCTTATCTTCATGGCACCAGCTGTGTGTCTCAACTGCTCCTTTTGAGGCCACATCTGGGGCTTCCCAGGTGGCTCATCGGTAAAGAATTTGCCTGCAATGCAAGAGACACAGGAGATGCGGGCTCGATCCCTGGATCAGGAAGACCCCCTGGAGAAGGGCATGGCAACCCACTCCAGTATTCTTACCTGAGAAATCCCATGGACAGAGAAGCCTGGTAGGCTAGAGTCCATGGGGTCACAAAGAGTCAGACATGATGATAACAGAAAAAAAAAAAAAATGCAAATCTTCTAACCTCAGTATCTTTTGCTTGAAAATAAGTAACTGTGACTGAATGATTTTGGGAGATCCCATGACATAGTCACAAAAACCAAGGGCCTAGCAGTAAACTCACTTATAACCCNAAGTACTGAAGCTTCAGCTTCAGTGTTAGTCTTTCCAATGAATATTCAGAGTTGATTTCCTTTAGGTTTGACTGGCTTATCTCCTTTCAGTCTAAGGGACTCTCAAGAGTTTTCTCTAGTACCACAGTTCAAAAGCATCAGTTCTCCAGCACTCAGCCTTCTTTATGGTCCAACTCTCATATCCATACATGACTATTGGAAAAGTCATAGCTTTATTAATTGAATTAATAAGTTTAGTGATAAACAGTGAAATTTGTATGATTTTTACTTATCGAGAAATATTCTTAAAATTTTTTTTCAGCCATTTAGAAATGTAACAACCCATCTCAGCTCAGGAGCCGTACCAAAAGATACAGCAGGGTGATATACCTGGTGGTTATTAATTGCTGACCTCTGACTTAGAGAAACATAAAATGGGCACTTTTTTGAAGTTATAGGATTCACCTATGGTTTATAAATTATAATTCTCCAAAGTTGGCTAAATTTTACTAAAATACTTTAACTAAATTTACTGGTTGGATGTTTCCCATTTAATATCTAATGCATGCTCAGTCATGTCTGACTCTGTGACCCTATGGGCTGTAGCCACCAGGCTCCTCTGTCCATGGGATTCTCCAGGGAAGGATACTGGCGTGGGTTGCCATGACCACCTCCAGGGGATCTTCCCAATTCAGGGATCGAACCAGCGTCTCATGCATCTCTGCATTGTAGGCGGATTCTTTACCACTGAGCCACCAAGGAAGCCCTTAATATCTAATACTTAAATAGAATTTTATAATTATTGAAACTGCCTATTGTGTTCATAAAAGCTAAGTTATTTTTAAATGTATATAAATTGATTTTCTATTAGCATAAAGTGACATATGATATGCCATGTTCTCTGTTTCAATATTACAAAATTTTTAAGACTAAAAATCACATTGGAAATTTAAATAAATTAAACACACAAGATTTGAGAATTAAACATTTGAAGAATGAATATAATTATTCCTTACAGTGAAACTTTTTCTGATATAAAAGTGTGTTTGATATAAAATCAAAATCAACCAGCAGAGAAAAGCATAAAAAAAGAAAGTTGAAAGCACTTGAAACTCCACCACCTGGAGATATTCACTGTAGAGTATTTTGGTAAGCATCCTTCTATAATTCTATCTACATCATTTTGATCCTTATCCTACCAGAACCTGCTTTTTAAAAAAAATCACACATAGCACTACATGATACACTGTCACAGTATAGTCATTGTTGGGGAATTTTTATAAATTGTCCAGTTCACTCAGCCGTATGTTGTGGAAACATTTTGATGTCAATAGATAGGATCCTAGTAATCATTTTAATGATTTAATGATAGTCAATTATATGAGAGCCCCATGGGCTTCTCAGATGGCACTGTGCTAAGGAATCTACCTGCCAATGCAAGTTGGATCCCTGGATTAGGAAGATCCCTTGGAGGAGGAAATGGCAACCCACTCCAGTATTCTTGCCTGGGAAATCCCAAGGACAGAGGAGCCTGGTGGGATATTATCATAGGCTCAAAAATACTCAGACAGGACTAAGCAACTGAGCATGCCTGAGGGGAGTTTTGGACTCTTAATTCTGGTTCAATGATCTAGTCATCTATTCCCAGGTCACACTCTTGTAAGTAGTAGTATTTTATGATAAAAAGAGGTATCACACAAAAGCAAACAAGCAAAACAAAACAAAATAACACCAGTAATAGGGTGTATAATAGTTTAATTTTTAAAACTCTTCCGGGTACAAACAGCTGGTGCTGTTAGGTTGCTTGAGTGNAATTGGTTAAAGGGAGGATTGCAAAGTCTTCTTTGGGAATGGTCATTGCTATGATTTACGTCATAATTATGGATACAGTTCTTTAAAAAAACTCAAGATGATATAGCAAGCACTTCCATATGCATAAACCTGGGCATTGGAAAATATTTTTTTCAACATAGTATTAAAGATTCTGAGATGTTGAGTAGTGAAGGATCCTGCTCAACCTCTAGCTCTGCACCTCCCCCAATTTGAATACTGAGCCCTGCTTTGAATAACTAATATACTGTGGAACACATCATGGAAACACTTGTTCATAGTTAAGTGTGTACACTTTCAATAGTGCTCAGATGCTTTAGTTGTGTTCGACTCTTTGCAACCCCATAAACTATAACCTGCCAGGCTTCTCTGTCTGTGGGATTCTCCAGGCAAGAATACTGGAGTGGGTTGCCATGCCCTCCTTCAGGGGATCTGCCCAACGCAGGGATTGAACCAGGTCTCCTGCACTGACAGGCACGTTCTTTACTGTCTGAGCCACCAGAGAAATGCCTCTAAATTTTGTTAGGTGAGCAAAAAGAGTGGGTAACCCAGAAATCTGAGAAGGAAAAGTAGTGAAGTGGGCCTTAATTTTATCAGTTTTTCTTAATTTTTAGAGAATTGTAATCAAATATCAGATAATAGATATTTGAGGTAATGCTCCATCTGTATCTGGGCACAATTGTTTGCACCCACCTTCTGCCCACATCTGAAGTTGTTATCCTACAGGACAAGGTCAGCAAATGCCCATCAGGGCTCTAGGGGAGGGTGTGGAGGGAGGTTGGGCATTCAGCAGATGGTCCCCTGGTGTCCCCACAGCTCACTGGGCTGTGACATGGGTATCACTGTCCCTCCTTGCTCAGCCCTTGTCTTCCTGGGTTAGGACACCCCTTCCCTAGATATGTGGGAACTTCCTGCTGGATTGAGGCCTACATATAACTTCCGAGGCTCTTTTGCCTCTGGGGCTCACTTGGTGGTAAAAATAGAGAGGTCCTGCCTGGACACCCCTCCTAAATCCCAGGAAGACTGGGACAGAGGGAGCAAGCTCTGTGGATGGTCCGTGGCAGTGGGTGCCCAGCCATGTGACTTTACCTGATGCCACAGGTGAGTGGAGGAGCTGAAACACCAGCAGGACTATGCCACCCTCTTAGCTCCTGCATCTCGGATCTTAAGTCCTGTTCTTTCTTCCTTTCATCATACTTTCCCAGATCATGATGGCAGTGACTCAGAACTCCCTCCCATCACGTTCAACACACACTCTCCAGCGGAGTCGATTCAGGAAAGACGATGGACAGCTGAAGTCATCCCGATGAAGAGCTTACACAGAGCAGGGACGCCACCGCGCTTTGGTTATCAAAGAAGCGCGAGCCGAGAAGAGCGCCTGGGCAGGGGCAGAAGGGCGATTTTGAGGCCCAAACCGCTCTTTCACGCTGTGGATGAGGAGTTCGAATCTGAGGAGGAGGCCCCAGCATTTGGGTCCCTACTGTCATCGGAGCTCAGACCTGGCGGGGACTGCAACTTGTCCCACAGCCCTTTGCTCCAAAGGAAGTAGTATCGTGGTATCACGTCCACGGGATTGTTTCTGGGTTTTTCCAGAGTCCACCGCCTTCTGATTATGCTGAAAGCAGGATGTTCAGAGGTCTGGAGAGAGTTATTGAGTTTGGGTCTTTGAAAGCTATTAGACACCAAGACTCTGTATTCTATAAGACATGATTGTGTAAGACTCTCTTAGACATGATTCTGTAAGACTCTATCATGGAGATTTTTCAGAGGACCAGGAACACACTTGCTGGTTCTGCCATGTTCTCAGGTGTGCTTCATAGCGGCATTCTCTGTGAAGGACAGACATCCATCCCCGCAGGAATTATTCACTGAGTGTGCCCTTCATGTCATTTACTGAGATACGAGACTGGTCAGTAATCCCCCTTGTCTCTACTCATGTCTGTGTGTGCGTACTTTCTCAATCATGTCTGACTCTTTGCGACCCTTTGGGCTGTAGCCTGCCAGGCTCCCCTGTCCATGGACTCCTCCTGGCAAGAATACTGGAGTGGGTTGTCATTTCCTTCTCCAGGGAATCTTCCTGACCCAGGGATTGAACTCACATCTCCTGCACTGGCAGAGGGGTCCTTAACCACTGAGCCACCAGGGAAGCCCCTTGTACAGCGTCGACGGCCTATAAGACATCTCAGAGCTGGAAGGACATTAGAGAAGGTGGTGTCAGAAATTCTTATTTTCCAGGGGACAAAAGTGAGGCCTTGAGAAGCTGGCTGGTGCCTCTTCAGGGTCTACATCCCTCGGAGGACGTGGGTTCTCTCTAGGACAAACATGCAGACACCAGGGGCGGAAAAGGGCTATCTTACTGTCCTGGATTTCTGTTCTGTAGATGGTGTCGGCTCAGGGTTCTGCAGCCGTGGTGGAGGTGACATCAGAGCAGCCTCCGTCTCTCTTCTTCCCAACCTGAGATGTAAGACTGCTTCTAATATGTTTGCGCTGTGTAGCTCAGTCAGGTCTGATTCTTTTGTGACCCCAGAGACTGTAGCCTGCCAGGCTCCTCTGTCCATGGAATTTTCTAGGCAAGAATACTGGAGTGGGTTTCCATTTTCTCCTCCAGGGGATCTTCCTGACCCAGGGATCAAACTCATGTCTCTTGTGTCTCCTGCATTGACAGGCAGATTCTTTACCACTGCGCCGCCTGGGAAGCCTAGTATGCTTGACCACTTTCTAAATTAGGAAAAGTCATTTTTTTAATATAAATAAAATCAGCAGATATGTTGATGTTGTCTAAAGATTTTGCAAGTATATTTTATCCACAAATAATGCAGGTGGTTTCTTGGAGTTTTTAATTGTTTTTTCCAAACTCAACTCTGTCAAGTACCTTATTTCTAACTCCTCCTGAGAAAACCCAGCCGCACAGACAGAAAGCTCTTTCTTAGAACATCAGTCGGTGTTAATTGTTAATTGGGCCATAAGCCACTGGGAATAAAAGAGACACTCGCCTCAGTGCGGGCCACTCCTCTAATTAGCAAGTGATATGTTGTTTCATCTGCCCACAGTATTTGATTTAATAAATTCTTTTCCTTTCTGAGACTCTAACCAGCTTTCAAGCCAAGGATGCTCAGGAAGTATGACAGGTAAGAAGCCACAATTCCTACCCTATTCCCAGACATTTTACTCAGCAAAGAGACTGGAACTGTTGTAAAATGAATGAAGGGGGTCACTACTCTGTTTTCAGGCAGAGCAATGTAGATTGGGATCAATATGCATGGGTGTGCTCGTTGTGTCCGACTACGTGTGACCCCATGGACTGTAGCCAGCTAGGTTCCTCGGTCCATGGAATTTCTCAGGCAAGAATGCTGGAGTGGGCTGCCATTTCCTCCTCGAGGGGATCTTCCCAACCCCGGGATGGAACTTGGGTCTCTTCTGTCTCCTGCATTGGCAGCCGGGTTCTTTGTCTCTATTGCCACCTGGGAAGCTAGCAGCGGCTGTAGCCAAATCATTGATTGGGAATGTGCCTCTTACATTGACCACAGTGAAGTGAAAACATGAATTATCCTTTCAGCAATTATTTGTGTTTCTGTATTTTTATTTTTATTGACATATTATCTTTGAACTCAAGGAAGTATGAGAAACAGAGCCAGTTAGAAACTTATAAAATTAAGGGTCACCTAGCATCGTGGCTCTGGACCAGTTTAAAAGGAAGGAAGGTCCCACAGGGTTTCATTTATTTTGTTTCCTCCCAGGAGTTTTTTTGGGTGACTAAGCGCAAGTGAAACTCAGATTCTGGGTTTCGCTGGTGTTCTGTTTCGCAGGTGAAGGCTGCCCTTGTTTTGCGTTTGTACTTGTCCCGGATCCGGTTCAGGAGGCAGCCCTGTTATTTAACTATACTGTATTTAAAAGGGACTGTGTGTGTGGGGGGGGACAAGGGTGTCCCCAAAGTTACAAATGCAGAGTTTAAAAAAACACACAGCGAATCAGAAAGAGGAAAGGAGGGGAAAGTTATGTCCTCCAAGAAGGGGGTATTCTTCGAGGCCAAAAGGACAGGTCCTCATCCAGGGACCCGCCCACGGGAAAGTCACACAGAGCAGGCAGCACAGGCCAGCACGGGTTTAGCAAACAATGCTTGCTGCCTTCCACCCACACCCCTGGAGCTGAATTTCAAGTTCTGAGTTTAGATAATACTGCTGGAATTCTTGCAGTTTTGCTACACTCTTGGGACTTCAGGCAGCTCTCTGTTAAAAATATCTGCAAAGAATATTCATTATATTTCAGTCATGACAAGAATGAAAATGAGTATTTGCAAAGTAGGGCTTCCCAGTGGCTCAGTGGCCAAGCACACACCTGCCAGCGCAAGGGATGCAGGTTCCTTCCCTGTGTGGGGAAGACCCCTCGGAGGAAGGCATGGTAGCCCACTCCAGTGTTCTTGCCTGAGAATCCTGTGGACAGAAGAACCTGGCGGGCTACAGTCCGCAGGGTCACAAAGAGTCAGACACCACTGAACAACAACAACAGTATATTTTGTAGTATTTTTATTTTATATATTTAATGTTTTGATGTTTGCTTTAGTCTCTAAGTCATGTCTGACTTTTCTGCAACCCCACAGACTGTGGCCCTCCAGGCTCTTCTGTCCATGGGATTTTCCAGGTAAGAACACTGGAGTAGGTTGCCATTCCCTTCTCTAGGGGATCTTCCCAATCCAGGGATTGAATCGAGACCCAATCCTGGGTCTCCTGCATTGGCAGGTGGGTTCTTTACCACTGAGTCGCCAGATCGTCTCCTATTTATGTTAGAGTATTTATATTTTATATATTTCATATATGTTAAGAGATTATATACTATATATAAATATATAGATTTTTATAAATTATAAAAATATAAATGTTTTATAATTATATATTGCCAAGATTACATTTATAATGACAAGAGACAGATTATGAGTTTAAAATAAACATGTTAATCAATATCTCAGCTCAAACCGTCAAAGAGACAGAATTCATCTCTTCTCAGTTCAGTTCAAGCCATCATGGGTTGGATGATGTCCGTCCACAGTGGGAAGGATTGTCTGTTTTACTCATTCCATGAATCTGAATGCTAATGTCTTCCTAAACATCTTCACAAGGGTGAATGAAGACATCAATGAATGAATACTGGTGGCTTAAAAATATGCACAACATGAGAGTTGCAAATTAAGTTTTATTTGGGGCAAGATGAGCATTGCAGCCTGGGAGATGGCACCTCAGATAGCTCTGAGAAGCTGCTCCAAAGAGGTGGATGGGGGTGGGGGGAGGTCAGTATGTGTGTGATTTTGGTGAAGGAGGAGTATATGCTTAATTAAGCACACATTTTTTTGTAGAAAGTTTCTACTAGTCTCATGAAACTTTGCTAGTCATGAGGAACAGTCATTAACATGAAGGATTTTAGTGTTTTTCTAGATTTCGGGAGATACAGGAATAGGGCTCATAAAATCAGCTCCTGAGGATATCTGAAGCCCTGCCCTGCCAGTTTCTGCCCCCAAGCAACAGAGTGCCTCATTTCTGCTATCCATCCTGAATTCCTTCAGGGAATGTTGAGGGTCAGCATCTGCAGTAGCACATGGCTTTATCCTTGTAGAGGTAGACGGCAAGTGCCCACGGATGGCAAGTGCCGATTTGTAGTAAACAAAACCGTCTAGGCAGGCTTCTTGATTTATGGGCTGCTGTGATGCACACTAACGTGTGCAAGGTTTACTATTGTTTTTTTCTAGAATCTAAAATTAGTGTTTGAGATATGTGTATTCAGTCGTTAAATCATTTCTGACACTTTGTAACTCCATGGACTATAGCATACCAGTTCCTCTTTACTTGGGATTTCGCAGGCAAGTGAGTTGCCATTTACTCTTTCAGGGGATCTTCCTGACCCAGGGATTGAACCCACATTTCCTGCATTGGCTACAGCTACCTGGGCTTGAAATATAGCAATTACTGAGCAATATTTGAGCAACTCAATATCAATAATTGAGCAAGTTAATTAATGGTAATTATTCTTTTGAAGTAGGACAAATACTACTTTTACTTTCAGAAAAATAACTTGTCTGAGTCTACCCAGTTAGTGAAAATATGTGATATTGGTGAAAAAATAGATTCTGTAGTCAGACTATTTTTAATTGAAAAAATGGTTTCATCTTCTCCAGCTAGGTGACCCCCAGAAAATCACTCTACTTTTCTGTGCCTCAATGTCCTTATCTATGAAAAAGGGGTGATAATAGTTACTATCTACTTTGTGAGATTGCAGTGAGTTTTAAAAATTCTTCTTGAAGATCCTGAAAACGGGGTCTTCCTTGGTGGTCCAGAGGTTTAAAACTTCACCTTCCATTGCAGGGGGTGCGGGTTCAACCCCTGGTCAGGGAGCAAGATCACACAAGGCTTATGGTCAAAAAAACAAAACATAAAGCAGAAACAATACTGTAACAAATTCAATAAAGACTTGAAAAATAAAGAAAAAGGCCCTAAAACAAAGTCTTCCACATGGTAGACCTTCACCTGCTGTTTATTTAGTTTTTGCAAATGACCAATTCCCCTGATCCTACATGGAAATGTGGTTCCTGCAGTCGTGAGGTCAATCTGGGAGTCAGAATTCTTGCTTCTCTGCTTGGGTTTCTTCTCTAGACTCTCACTAGCTCCACACAAGGGTCTATTAATGGTCTGCCACTGAATCGTTCACTAGCTGCTTGGGGGCAATCACCAGGTCTTATTCATTTTTATTTCTTGAAAGCCTAATAGGGTACCTAACACTTAGCAAAATGATTTTCATCTTTACCTTAAACAGACTCAGATAAAGGAAGCACACTTACCAAGTTCTTGCTCCATCAGGGTTGTTTAAGAATTCTGTAGGTTTTCTGAGAGAGTGTTTGGTTTGGTATAAGATAAGGAAATGAACACGAGTTTCTCTGAAACTTAGATAGTTCATACAAAGGAGAATATGGAAACCAAGAAGCAATAACGGTAAATATGACTCAGAGAGGTAACCAGTCATACTCTGAAAATAAAGCAGTACATCTCTGCATAGACTGTTAACAAGGAAAACAGGTTGAATACAGGGTGGGGAAGTGTTTGTCAAAGGAGGTTAGAAAAAATGAGAATGGTGTTTCTGATATAAATGTTTAGAGCACTTGTGCCTTGGTATTATGCAAGTAATCCAATTACACACAACCCTGTGAATAAGTGGAAAGTACATTTGGGAAATTTTAGGAAGGCATCTTCAGATACACATGGCTCAGATACACAAACCCTCATGGCTACTAGGGTTTGTTTTAAAGTAGTCCAAGTTGGAAATGTGGCAAGAATTGCGAAGATCAAATGTGGAGGGAAATGCTGAGAAAAGGCAACAAAAATGTTTGTTTTTGAGGCGTAGATATAGGGCAGCAGTTAAGAGGGTAGCTCTGGAGCCTGACTGCCTAATTTTTTTATATAAGATCCTATATTGGTGACTCAGATGGTAAAGAATCTTCCTGCAATGCAGGAGACCCAGGTTCTATCCTTGGTGGGAAAGATCTCCTGGAGAAAGGAATGGTGACCCACTCCAGTACTCTTGCCTGGAGAATCCCATGGACAGAGGAGCCTGGTGGATCCCTGGATCACAAAGAGTTGGGCATAACTGAGTGACTAAAACACACGTATATCAATTGGTTTTATGATGTCCGGCAAGTAAATTTTGGTTTTCTCATCTCAAAACTGATGATAGTGGTCATGTGATTTGGGAAATGAATAGATTTCTTGGGAGGCATTTAAGATTCCAGAAAAACATCTATTTCTGCTTTATTGACTATGCCAAAGCCTTTGACTGTGTGGATCACTATAAACTGTGGAAAATTCTGAAAGAGATGGGAATATCAGACCACCTGACCTGCCTCTTGAGAAACCTGTATACAGGTCAGGAAGCAACAGGAAGCAACAGTTAGGACTGGACTTGGAACAACAGACTGGTTCCAAATAGGAAAAGGAGTAGGTCAAGGCTGTATATTGTCACCCTGCTTATTTAACCTATATGCAGAGTACATCATGAGAAACGCTGGGCTGGAGGAAGCACAAGCTGGAATCAAGATTGCTGAGAGAAATATCAATAACCTCAGATATGCAAATGACACCACCCTTATGGCAGAAAGTGAAGAAGAACTAAAGAGCCTCCTGATGAAAGTGAAAGAGGAGAGTGAAAAAGTTGGCTTAAAACTCAACATTCAGAAAACTAAGATCATGGCATCCGGTTCCATCACTTCATGGCAAATAGATGGGGAAACAGTGGAAACAGTGGCAGACTTTA